GAATGAAGCGCACCGTGCTCTTCCTAGGAAGCTACCCTCAAAGTTTTTTGAGATTTCAGACGAACGGCGCGGATGAACGGTGATGAGACGTGCATCAGAAGAATGAGACAGAAGCAGCGGTTCATCGGTGGCGTCGTCATGGACTTACTGAACTGAAAATTGAGCAAGGAGACGGATTAAGACATAAGTGCAGTTAACAAACCGCGGCAACCCCCCCCCTGCTTCACCCTCGTATCATCCTGCTATGTCGAATCCCCCCGTTTGGAACGACGACGAGCGAGCGCTGTTAGGTGATCACTGTCCTGAATATGTGGCCTCTGGAAGCGACAAGCAAGGGTTCTACACTCGCGTTTGGGCCATATATCTCCGCAAATTCCCTGTGATGCCTACCGAGGCCGAAATTGCTGAGAGCAGCGGCGATGTCATGAAGGCATTTCGGCACGTAGGTTGTGCTCAACGTCGTGCACGGAGGCTCGCGGTACGACTTACACTTGACCTTAACACTATGTCATTCTGATCAGTGCCGCATTTGATCACAGCAAATGACTTACTGGTTCCAGAATAACGGCAACCGTGTTGCTGGCGAACGAGCATCTGGTTTTGGGACTCCCGCCCGCGTTCGAGTGCTCGATCTGTCAAACAAGGATAAGAGAAAACTCCAGGTGAGTATCTTTTGTTATTCGATCCGTGTCGTCTGTTATCTGACAATATGATAAAGCCAGGCCACGCATGGCTCCGCCTCTTTTACGATAAACTGGAGGTGAAGGCATTGTATGATGCGGCATGGGGGGTAGCGCATGGGGCTGGGTGGAGCAAGAAGAAAGAGGTTTCTTTCCGTAACATGTGGGCAGCAGAGCAGCTTGAGAAGGCAGACCCTGAGACGAAGGCGCTGGTGGACGAGTACCGTGAGAAAGGTCACCTGAAGGACGATGAAGAGCGCTACATTGACGTCGAGCATGGTGACGACGAAGACATGGTTCGTGCGAAACGACTCCAAGAGTGAGTATCATATATCCTGGCTTCACTATCTTCTAATATATCTCAGGTATCTCGACAATCTCCCCCATACCCTCAAACGTGTCGCAGAAAGCCTTCACAAGCAGACGGGGTGGAACTTTAGTATAACATGTGGGGGTCCTTTGCCTCGGGCCCCGAATGGAGCCGTGAATACGCTGCAGTGAGTGACCTTATTATGATCTGCCGAACGTGTGCTCAATTTCTCTAGCCTGTCTGTCGGGAAATGCAAACAAGGCATGGAGTGGTCGGACTGGAACTCGGAATACAAGGAGGACATACAACGGTTTCGCCAGTTCTGCGATGCAACTTTCTGTGAGTTGTTTCAATAGCGGACTCGAGTTAAATCTAATAGTACGCACTGATAGCTCCAGCGGAATGTTTGGCGTTAAGTCTCAACCGGACGCCGACTTCGACATCCATCGCCTCGAATACGACGGCGTCTGCCACTGCCGAAACGCCAACGTCAACTTCTACCACAACGGCTTCGACCACGGAAATCGCTGGCTTTGACAATTCCATGCTAGATCCAACGTTGTTGGATATGAAGCTCGTCAGCGACGTCTCCCTCGCGTTTGTTACCGATACGGCAACGTCTATGGTAGATTACTCTACCACTTATCCGTTAGGCACGGCAGCTCCCACAAAAAAGCGTCGTAGGGCACAGAAGGTGTCTGCAAATCACAAGAAGGCAAAATCTCTTCGCAATGCTGCCATTCTTGCCCAAGCAGAGGTCCATAGCTTCGAGTCAGGATCCGATACTTTCCTCGTGTCATCCGATTCCGCTTCATCCTCCATTGCCCCCGCTGTGGCGCAACAGATGCCTTCCACTGCGGTGCCTCCAGTCTCACCCGTTGTAGCGCCTCAAGTCCCACCTGTTGCGGCGCCTCAGGTCCCGCCCATTGCAGCGCCTCAGGTCCCGTCGAGTGTTGCACCCCAGATATCGCCCAGTATTGCACCCGTTGTCCAGCCCTCTGTCCTGCCAGCCGCGGTGTCTCAGGTCCCGCCCGCTGCGACACATCAGGCTCTGCCCCCTGCAACGCATCAGGCCCCACCCGTTGTGGCGCCTCCGGTTCCACTTTCCATATCGCCTCAGGTCCCTCCCGGTGTCGCACCCGAGGTTCCCACCGGTGTCGCGCCTGAGGTCGCGCCCGGTGTCGTGCCCCAGGCCCCGTCCGATGTCATACCCAAGGACCAGCCCGTTGTCCAGCCCTCTGTCCCGCCGGCAGCGGCGCCTCAGGTCCCGCCCGCTTCGACTCATCAGGTCCTGCCCGCTACGACTCATCAGGTCCCGCCCGTTACAGCACCTCAGGTCCCGCTCTCCACATTGCCTCAGGTCCCGTCCGGTGTCGCACCCAAGGTCCCGCCCGGTGTCGCACCTCAGGTCCTGCCCGATGTTGCACCCAAGGTCCAGCCCGTTGTCCAGCCCTCTGTCCCGCCGCCCGTGGCACCTCAGATCCCGCCTGCTACGACTCATCAGGCCCTGCCCGCTGCGACTCATCAGGACCCGCCCGTTGCGGCACCTCAGGTTCCGCTCTCCACATCGCCTCAGGTCCTGCCCGGTGTTCAGCCCGTTGTTTCGCCCTCTGTCTTGCCGACTGTGGTGTCTCCGGTCCCGCCCGCTGCAACACTGCCCCCTGCGACGCATCAGGTCCTGCCCGTTGCGGCGCCTCAGGTCCCGCTCGCTGCAGTGCCTGGGGCACCGCTGCCCCGGAAACGTCTCAATTCTTCTCCGGCCCCAAGCAGCGGGTTTGTAGACCTGGATGACGATGACGATGACGCTAATGCTCCGCCGCTCGGCGTCACCAATGGTGATTTAGAGGAGGAGGAACGCCAAGAGCAGCAAGGCCTCAAACGGTTGGTAGTCTGACAAATCCCGACCGCAATAATCTGCTGATATATCAAGCCCAGCCACCAACAGGCGCTCGCTATCCCGTCCAGGAAGTCCGGGCGGGTTCGCAAAGCTTCACAGAAGGTGGCAGGCACCGAAAGCATCTCATTGGATGCAAGCCTACCAACTACCGAGCTCGTCAACAATGTTCTACTAGATGACAGTCTTCCGAGCTATTTCACATCTGCGGTTCAGTTCATGGGGTCCCAGGTATACGGCCCTCATGGTGATTTCTTAGAGATGATCAAAGCCTTCATCCTGTTCGAAGCGAAGTCTCAGTTCCTCGCACAGAATGTGAGTCCTCGGGTTTGCTATCAGCATCGTGTCTTATTCGTCCTATCAGTCTCGCACCAAGGCTGTCAATCGACCTAAAATTATCCAGAAATGGATGACGGGCGCGAGACGAGACTTCGCAAGCATGAAGTCGGACGATCCAGCCCGAGATGTCTCGGGATGGTTCTTGTGGTGGGCAACGCTGCAGCCAGCATGGCGCGGTGCTCTCATGCCCCATTCTTGCGAACCCCCTCCTGGCGCTCGCTACCCTGACCTCAAAAATGGGCATATGGGCGTTGTCACGGTGGTTTCGTCTCTTGTATGCCTTTACTGGTCAACTGAGGATCAGGAGCTCCGTCAGAAGTTGACCTTGGGTGCCCGTGATGTATGCTGGGCTCTGACAGCTGCAGCACAAGGCATGACTACGAAAAACGATGAAGCAAATGACAATCAGCCTCCCCGCAAGTAAGTGAGAGCCGTTATATCTGTCGTCCTGACGTACTAAATCTGTGCCGTCAGGCGCCCTCGCCTGTAACAATACCTGATTTGCATATACAGTACCCGTTTCTACCCCGTGCCGTCAACTTTCATAAGAGTACTCCGGTCTCCATAATTTTAGCATAGGGCTTGATCTTCGCCATAAATAAGTATCCAGGCATTGTCTGGTCCATAGTCAATAACGCATTGTATTTAGAATTTCTTGGTGATACAACAATCATATTCAAGGTCGGGCTCTAGCATAGGGTCGATCCTTCTCGAGATTTTGGTGTGGACTATCGTAGATATCATGGTAGAGCTCACTTTGGTGGCCTCGCGCTGTTACTGGCGTTTTTCGTCGAGATTGGGTGGAAGCGACGGATGCACCGTCTTCGAGACTTTGCCGGGGGTTATCCACAAAATCGCGCCGACATATCCGGGTCAGTCGCGCAAAGTTGCCGGCGTTTATCTCCAAGGACATGTTTGAGCATGAGGTAGATCTTAGAGATTTTGCTAGGGTTTATCAACAAGATCGCGCAGGAGGGCTCAAGCTCACCACGACGAATACTCTCCTGATGTTACTGGCGTTTCTTGTCAACATTTAATGGAAGCCGAGGATAAAGTCTCCTCGATATTTTGCTTGAGTTTATCAACGACATCGCGCTGACGCGCTGACGTCCGGCTGAAGCATGGGGTCCATCCTCTCCGAGACATCGAAGGGGGAGGAGGCGGGATGGTCAAAAGTTCCGTGCTTACGAGCTCATTCTCAAGGCGATGAATGGCCTCACGCTGTTACTAGAGTTGCTCGTCTAGATCGGATGAAAGTGGAGGGTGAATACGTGCATTACACGAAGCTGCCGGTGTTTATTGTCAAGGTCCGGTTCGAGCATGGGATCGTCGTTCTGCTGGGGATTATTAATGAGATCGCGCCGGCGAGCTGACACTCACTATGATAATGGCCTCCCGCTGTTACTGAAGTTTCTCGTCAAGGTCGGCCGGAAGTGCAGGATGAATCCTCAAGAGTTTGCTGAGGTTTATCGACGAGGTCGCGCCGGGGTGCTCGCGTCCATTACGCGAAGCTGCCGGCGTTTATTGTCAAGGTCCGGCTCAAGCATGGGATTGTTGCTGGGGATTATTAATGAGATCGCGCCGGCGAGCTGACGCTCACCGCTATGAATACTCCTCGATATTGCTGGCGTTTCTCGTC